TTCCAAAAGGTGGGGGCAGAGAGGCTGAGAGAGGTGGAGCAGACCAGGTGGGGGACATGGAGCAAGCCGGAGTTTACTGAGCGGAGAGAGCAGAGAGGTCGATACCGCGTTAGCAGGTCACAGAGGTAGGTACGAAGGAAGGAACAAGGCCATGGAGGGCTTTGAAGGCGAGGACGAGGCTTTTGAACTTTATCCTCTTGGGGATGGGGAACCAGTGGAGGGAGGGTCGTGGAGCCTGGTGCGGAAGAGGACACGAGCTGCAAGAAGGAGGTCCTGCTAAGGGAGTATCAAGAGCTAGTGGCTGAATTAAAAAACAGGTGGTAATCGAAAATGGTAATCTCCAGATTGCTAACCGAGCCATATGCAAATTGGCCTGGAAATAAACGATTAGGGAAAGGAATGTGTGGTTGAAAGTGTGGTGTGAGAAGGAGGGGCTCCATTTCATGGGACACTGGCACCAGTATTGGGACAGCAATGAGCTGTACTCTGCTGGGAAGGGCTGCACCTAAACAGGGTTGGGACCAAGGTTCTTGCGAAAAGGATACACAGCACTTTAGAAAAAGCTTTAAACCAGTAAAAGGGTGGTGTTGGGTGTAAACAATAACCAAAACATAAGGCAAGGGAGAGAATAAGAGAAATAGTCAGAATACAAATAGTGATAGATAACATAAATATTACAAGAAAGAAAAATTATGGGAGATTTTCATTTTCACATAGACTGGGCGAAGTAGGACACCTTAGGTAGTAAAAGGCAACAAATTTCTAGAATGTATTCAGGACAATTTTTTGGAACAATTTTTTTAGAACCAACAAGGGAACAAGCCATACTGGATTTGGTGATGAGAAATGAGCCTGAACTAGTTAACAATCTGATAGCAAGGGAACATCTTGCAAATGGTGATCATAGAATCACTAAATTTGACATTGGATTAGATTTGAGAGGGAGAAGTCCTAAACCAAGGTTTTAAATTTATGTAAGACAAACTTCAATGGGATGAGAAATATATTGACCATATATTTAAATATATATATAAATATATTGACCACAGTAAACTGGGCTGAATTGTTAGCGGATAAACCTGCAGATGAATGGGAAATATTCAAAAAGTATTTGATACAACACAGAACATGCGCATACCCCTAAAACTACAAATTGTGTAGTTAAGCTACCACTATGGTGGACAAAAGAGGTTAGAGACCGTATCAAGCTAAAAGAAAAGGCTTACTCAAATGCAAGAAAAAGTGGGAATGCAGCGGACTGGGAGACCTACAAAAAGCAACAAATGGATACAAAGAAAGTAATAAGAGGAGCAAAAAGGGAGTATGAAAGAAAGAGAATGTTCAAGGGGAATGTGGGTCCGTTAAAGACAGATTTAGGTGAGGTTATAATGGAAAATAAGGAAATGGCTGACTTGTTATACAAATACTTCACTATCGTTTTTACAGGAGAGGATGAGGACAAAATACCAGCCGTACAGGGGAACTCAAAAATAAGTCAAAGAGAAACGCTTAATAAAATTAATATCAATAAAAAATGTAATGGAGAAAATAATGAGACTCAAGATAGACAGGAGCTGATAGTTTCCACCCCAGGGTGTTAAAGGAAATAGGAGAGTAAATTGTGGATGTATTCGTCATAATTTTCCAAAGCTCACTAGATTCGGGAATTGTGCCCTTAGATTGGAAAATTGCGAATGTCACACCTTTACTTAAGAAGAGAGAGAGGGAGAAACCAGGAAACTACAGACTGTCAGCTTAACGTCATTTGAACACTTGGGACAGGTATGAGCTAGTCAAAGAGAGTCAGAGGTTGGTGAAGGGTAGGTCGTGTCTGACTAATCTCGTTAAATTTTTTGAAATGGTTAGATAAGAGAGTGCCTATGGATGTCATTTATATGAAGTGCTGAATGGCCTACTCCTGTTCCTATGCAGAGTTCTGAATGATCTACAGCTTGTGGAGGGAAGCGTTGGGAAGGCCAACAAGCAGTTAAGTTTGTCTGTGTATTTTGTGGGCGAAATGTGGCAGCCAATTGCACATAGCAATGTCCCACAAACAGTCGTGGATTGAGTGACCACTTTTTTTTTGACATGGGTGCAAACTACATCTTACGATCCATGAGTGTGTGCGCACTTCATTTTTATCCCATGTCCTCCAGGCCCGCTCAGACCTACCACCACCCAGCTGACGTGAAGTAGACAGATGGCATTTAAGTGCTTTTGAGATGCATGGGTGCGGAAATACTAATATAAACATTCTGAGTGCTGGCGTGCCCGGCTGGCACCCCTGCAGCCCTCCACATCACAAGCCCATTATAAACCACATTGCATTGTGTGGCCCAACATGGAATGTGGTGGAGGGCATGCTTTCATTTAGTACAATGTATAAAAAGCTAATTGTTCCAAGCCGTACTTCAAAGCAAGCCTCAACATTTCAAGGCAAACACAAGAGCTGGCTTTGTAACAAACTGTACTTAAAAGACAGCTAAAAATAAGATTCCTCCCTCTCTCAAGCATTCTTCATCAGTGCACTCTGAGTGCAGAGTTAGCACTGTTAGCAAGAGCTCCTTTGAGTTCTGGGTCTTGTTAGATAATATACATAAGGACCTGCTACAAAAGTACACAACAACTTGGATTTATATAATGCCATCCACGCTGGATAGCTCTTCAAACAAGTCGTATCAGTTGGGACCATACATTTAATATGATTTATGCAAGGAATCAGTTATGGGAAACTTATAATTAATAAGAAATTCGTTGGGCAGATGTACGACTAAGGCGATTATACGATTTATACAGATCAGACTTATGCGAGTTTTATTGTATTGCATTCAGACTAACACCCCTCCCCCATCCGACCACCAGATCTCTGATATGTTGGGCTTCTCTGAATTAATTCCATCTGCCGTATTCCAGCAAGAGCTAACTTAACCGAGCTCAATAGAAAACAGCGGTGAATAAGCACGGTCTAATCCACATGCTGAAATTGTATGACAAAACTGATACGAGAATATGGTTTCACCCATATTTCAGGAAAGACACCAGGAAATTTTTCTTTACCAGAAGGTAATTAATGACTGAACCAGGCTTACCAGGGCAATGACCTGGACTTGTTTGATGGTGTGAGAGGAAGAAGGTAGGGTGGATTTTCTGGAAGGATGACATCAATGGTGCCTTCTGCATCTGCACCTCTTGTGATCTTGTTAATGACCACTTGGGCAAGGTACTGCAGGGCACTGTGAATCTACACTTTACTGTAGTCAGTACCTCAAGAAGATTGGTGGAGATATTACTGGAGCATGAAGAACAGTACAATTTTATCTCACGTTTGAACTGAAAAAGAAATTCACCTTATTCAAACTAAAGTGCACAAGTAACATTCCCAACCTATCCTTGCCAGAAAGTGAGCGAGTAAGAGAGATTGTTGCAAGGCTGTGAGGTTAAGGTTTAAACAATTCCCAATTATCTTTTGAAAAAATCTTGGAGTGCCTATTTACAGGAAGGGTAAAAGCAGGATAGACCTGATTTTCCAGCCAAAACTTATTGTTAAACGTACTATTTCATGGAATTCAGTGCACTGGAACAGTGTCATGGTTTGAAGCTAGGGCACCATACGTCAGGGGTAGGGTGAGAAATGGTGAGTTACTCACTCGGAGAGATCTCTGCTAAGTCTTTCACTCAGTTGCTTTTGCAGACTGCCTGGTCATACACATCCACTCGCTCACTCACAATCAAATCTGCATCACTTGTGCCAATATACAGTGAATTCAGTTTACAGTATATTCTGTGAAGCGCTTCGAGACATCTCAAAGACTTGATAAGGCGCTATATCAAATGCAAGGATTATTATTATTATTACAGGAACATAGGAACAGGAGAAGGGCATTCAGTCCCTCGAGCCTGCTCCGCCATTCTATTGGATTATGGCTGATCTGTCCCTCAACTCCAATTATTATTGAATAATTATTGAAGCCCAGTTCAACTGTGTAATAATACTTTTTGCAGCTGATATAGCGTATTTCATGACAGCAGGACATCTCAAAGCACTCCAACAGATTTACTGTACACTAGCGACTATATATTCTAGGTGACATGGCAGCCAATTTGCGTACAGCAAAGACCAAGAAGTGATTGACCAATTTTTATCTGTGGCCAATTGTTGGCCAGGAAATTATGAGCAACTCACTTTTCTTCGAATAATGCTATGTGATCTTTAACGTCTACCTGAACAGGCAAACAGGACCTTGGTTTAACGTTTGTACGAAGAACAGCATCTCCTTCATGCAAGGTATGAAAGGGTAAATAGCAGTAGATTATTTCTACTGGTCACTGAATTGGTAACTATAGAGCATAAATTTCAAATGATAAAATAATTGAAGGGAAATTTAGAAACGATGTAATAAGATGTGAAAAAGTCTGTGACAAACCATAGTTGAGGCAGACTTCATAGTTTCTTTTAAAAGGGAAATGGATAGATTTTTGAAGACGAAAAATACTAACTGTTATGGTGGAAACCAGCAGGAGAGTGGGATTAGATTAGGTGGTTCATGTGGACAACAGGGATTTGAGGCCTGTTTCAGTGCTGTATAATTCTGCAACAACGGCAGAACTGCAAAAACATTCCCCTAGGTCTACAAATAGTTAACAAATCTGGGCAGTGCTTAACAGTTTTATTTTGCTACCCTTGAATGCTAAGATCAATCTTTTGACATCTGAGATCAATCAAATGTTTCATGAGCAGATGCCTGTACGCACAGGTAGTGCGAAGGCAGGGACCATCTTGAAAGAGTTACACAATGATTTACTGCATCAGGGATGTAGCCAAAGCACCTCATTCACTTTGACAAATAATTGGATTTCACAGGTTCCAGCTCAGGTAACTCAGCAAATATTGAACACAATCTGCACGAGCTGTGGCTTTATCCCTCTTCTCCTGAAGGGCGGGATTAGGTTTCTTGACATGTCGCTACCTGTCGAGCCGTCTCCAGGTGTGTGTTGCTTACCTTGAGGCGGTCTGCGGGTGGAATGCTGTAATTCTCAGCTCTTAGGTTGGATGCAGCAACAATGAAATCCATGTGGAAATTGGTGTCATCGTCCTGGAATATGAAAATAAAGGTGTTATCAGGAAGTCTTGCAAAATCATGGAGATTACATAAACGCTTTTCAAATATCATATTTAACCTTTCACTTTTTTAACCTCTGCTTTATTTTTAAGATATAATAATAATCCCTGCATTTGATATAACGCCTTATCACATCTTCTAGACATCTCAGAGGGCTTCACAAAAAATATTGCACAGCAAATGGGCTTTATATTTTGTGCGCGATCAGCCACAATCGAATAGAACAGGCTTGATGGGCTGAATGGCCTACATCTGTCCCTATTCCTATGAGGTCATGTCTGCCTAGTCAGCTGGATGTTAAAGATTCCATGACTATTTATTTCTCACCAAATAATAGTTTGGTCACTCAATCCACGACTGCTTGTGAGAAACTGCTGTGCGTAATTGGCTGCCGTGTTTCGCCCACAAAATACACAGTCAATTTAATTTACAATACAACAAAAAGCAAAATACTGCAGATGTTGGATATCTGAAATAAAAACAGAAGTCGCTGGGAACACTCAGCAGGTCAGGCAGCAGGTTGATGACCATTTTGATGAAAGTTGGACCTGAAACGTTAACTCACTTTCCTCTCTCCATGGATGCTGCCTGACCTGCTGACTGTTCCCAGCGATTTCTGTTCTTATTTCAGTTTACAATATATTCTGTAAAGTGCTGAGTCCTTCATTACAGAGTGGCTACTTATGCCACACCTGTAACCACTTGTCAAATTGGAAGAGTAACTTACCTCCAATCCTCGTTCCTTCCCTCCGGATCATAATGCCTCTCTGCTGGGAACCAAATGTACTGGGGTTGAGTGGATCGGGGCAAGGAGAGAGGGTGGTTGGTGAAAGACAGGGTGGTCTATGTGAACCTGTGTTGAATTGGTTCAGTGATTCAGTGCTGCATGAGTGAAATGCGCAGATGGGTAGATTTTGCTTGTGTTTGAAGAGAAAGATTTGTAACCAGTAACATTTTAGCTCCAGGTCTACCCTCCTCAGCGGCAGTGTTCTTTCGGCTGAACCAATTTATCTACGTGGTTTTAGCTGGTTAAACTTCAACAGTATACCAATGCAGACTCTGGGGTCCTCAGACTTTGGCCCTTGCCAACCTACGCTTAATACTTTCCGGAATTAGGTAAGCGGATGCGTCCCTCCAGGGAGAGATTCCATTCCAACAATCTATCTCTGGAATTTCCATGTGTAGGTGGGATGCATGGAAGTCTCAGCTTAGTTGGAATATTCTTAAGCATGGTGTTGGGTTTCCGTGTGTGTCAGACACCCGGCTAACTAAAACAAAAATTATTTCTGCTGAGAACAAAAGGTAGCATCAAGGCCAAGCTAGATAGTTTGACTTCTCCCTAAAGTTCTGGGCAATCTCGTGTTTCTTGGTTGTAGTCAGGAGAAATTTGTTCAGTGCTTCCTCCCTGTGAGATTCCCATATTGGGAGATCCCAACGCACAATATTGACAGGGGAAAAGTCTCTCAGGATTGCCTGACACAGGCCTTGTACTAAGAGAATTGGATGTAGAATGCAATTAAATTCTTTCACTGATTTTTTAAGAGATGAAAGTAACGTGACATGACTGAAATTGAACTCTTACTTCGGAATCTTTGTAACTGTTGTACTTCCTGAACAAATTGGACTGGTTTCTAATTTTAACAAGAAATATTTGCAATTTTCTGCGACCTTTGGCCTCACACATCTGTTTAATTTCTAGAACAAAATAAAAAAACACACAAGGCTGTACCCGCTCGTGGGTCAGACGTGATAGCTGCACAAACCGCTCCACTTGGCTCCAGCTAACAGGAATCATCCGACAATATTAATTTTTTAAATTTATTAAAAATGATTGAGACACCTGGATAATGTATACTTCAATGTTTCCTTCATCGAATCTTACACGTGAAGAAACTGTTGCATAAATCATAAAAATGAAGATAGATATTTGAACCTAGATGAGCATTGCGTGAACACAGGCATGGAACAAGAAACGACCATTTGACCCAGCAAACCTGCTCCCACAGACTACAGAAAACTTACCTAATTACCCCACTAACTTTGTAAAATTCTGCTGAGATCTTATTGGACCATTTGAGCAGAAAACATCTCTCTTTTTACAATAGAATGGCTTTTATTATATTTAAAAATATATATTGTAGTACTTCGCCCACAAAATACACAAGTCACTGCACTTTACAATATATCCCATGAAGCGCTTTGAGGCGTCTCAACAACGTGATAAGGAGCTATATCAAATCCAAGGATTATTATTATTAAAACTCTAGAACATTAATCTATCACCACCAACACCACCTAAAAAGGGATTCACCTACAGGGGTATTGGGAAAAGGGCAGGTAAATAGGCTTGCAAGAATGGTTCTTAAACTATCCAGCCCAGACCCAGATGTGCCAAATGGTCTTCTTTTGGGCTGTAATTTTTCTATAGTCCTATCACTGTTTCTGCTTCCCCCACTGCCCCCGGTCCCATTACTGACAGCAGCTTACCACTGAACGTTTGATTCCCCCATTTTTCAAGCTCAGTCACAATGCCGTGAGGCGGTGTCAAATGCAGGTTAGTGAAGAGATGAAATTGGATTTTTGTGTGTATTTGTCTACCGGCTCAGGACGACAGGGAAAAGCCGTGGGAGCAAGTTGTCAGACATCTGGCTGAGATTAGCCCATTGAGTCTGAATTGGATAACAGCAGGATGTTCAAAGGCCTGTGCATAAGTAGATGAATGAGGCAGCCAATTTGAGCAATGTCATGTCCTAACAACAGCCATGAAGTCAAACAAGTGAATGACCAACTTTTTATGTAGGGGGGTTATTGACCAGGAAACCTAGACAAACTCACTTTTTCAAATAGTGCCATGGGATCTTTAAATGTCCACGATTCCGCAGTTTAATTTCTCTTCCAAAGGACAGCACCTCTTGACGTTGTGGAGCTCTCCCAGCACTGCACTAGAGTGTCAGTCCCTATGAGTGAAAAGTCCCAATGTGGGGCTTGAACCTACAACCTTCTGACTCGAAGGTGAGAGTCCTACAAACTGAGGCTGAGGTTTAAAAAAGAGAGTTCGTTCATCCAAGAGGAGTGTACGTGACACATCCACACTTGTGGTAGTATGTCTTTTCAAAAAACGAATAAGTGAAGTTAGATTGTGCAGTGGGATAGTTTCCAGGAAAACAAAATCCGCATTGTTTGTGTAGTCCTGTAGTGTACTGGTTAGAGCACTCGCCTCACTAGTGAGAGGACCCGGTTTGTTTCCTGGGCAGGGCGAAACCTTGGGCAAGTTTCTGTTACCAAGCAGTATGTAGTAACCCTTTTTTTTAAACTTTTTTTTTTCACATTTCGCCCACAAAATATACAGTCAATCCACTTTACAGTATATTCAGTGAAGCGCTTTGAGACATCTCAATGACATGATAAGGCGCTACATCAAATGCAAGGATTATTATTATTATTATTATAATAATTACCTTCTCAAAGTCAGCAGGCTGCATGTTGTACCCATTGATGGCTTCGCGGGAAGAAAGATGATTTTTGAGTTCATCCAGCCTTTCGTCATCTGTGTCGAAAATCATAGGATTCAGCTTCAGAAACGTCAAGCAAGCCAATGTGTTAAATTTGCAATGCAAAACTTTTGTGTAAATGGTGAATGAAACTGGTTTGGTTTTATTGACAATCGTTGGAGCAGGTTTTGAATATGAAAATGAGCAAGAGTGTAAAAACATTTGGATGTGTGTGGACTTTGGCAGCAAGTGGGTAAGTTTCCACAATGAACAATTCAATTGGGGAAGGGGCAGATCATTTTCACTTACCTCACTTCAGTAACGTATTACTATGCCAGCAAACAATTACTGTTACTTATGGGGAGCCAAAGTCCAATAAGGGACAATAACAATTTTTGGATTGTTTCAAGCTGTTAAACAGCTATATATGAGGATTTCTTCAAAATGACTTTTGTTGTTAAGAATTTATCTAATTTGGGATGTTCTAAAATGCTGTAGCGTGTTTATAATAACAATAATAATAATCCTTGCATTTGATATAGCACCTTAACACGTCTTCGAGACGTCTCAAAGCGCTTCACAGAATATACTGTAAAACGAACTGTATATGTTTGTGGGTGAAATGTGGCAGCTAATTGTGCACAGCAGTGTCCCACAAACAGTCGTGGATTGAGTGACCAAATAATTATTATTATTTTTTTTAAAAACATTATCAGGGATATGTGGGGAGAAATTTCACCTGGTGTAAATTTACACTATTTACACATCATTTTAGAAGATTCAGAATTAGGTAAATTCTTAAAATTAGCCTTAATTTTGAAGTAGTGTTTCTGTTAAATTATTTTAAGAAAGATGGGAAACTGACTTTGAGGCTGACTAAATCAACAATTTGCCAAATTCTGGATGCTCTAATACGTGACCTGGAGCAAAGCTGGATCCAGGTAGAATTTCTTCAGTAGTTTTTTCCTCCCAAAATATGAAATTGAATATTGCTTCCTAAGTTGTGATAACTTCATGAATCAGCCTACAAAATACATTTTCAGATCTTATGACCTGACTCGACTAGGCTCTGGAACTCTATCCCCCAGTGCCTACGCCGCCTCCTCCCTTTCCTCCTTCAAGGCCGGTCTCAAGACCTTTCTCTTTGACCGTGCCTTCAGCTCCCCTCTCGACTCTCTACCCCCTCCTCGCTCCCTCCCTTCCCTCCCCTCACCCTGACCATTTCCCCCCTGCTCGGGTCCTGACCCAACTGTACAGCGCCTTGGGACGTCCTCCCGACGTGAAAGGCGCTCTATAAATGGAATCTTGTTGTTGTTGTTGATGCTAATTTTGTAACTGGCTATTTTCTCTTCAAGTTGAGTGCTTCAATCCAAGGTGACTTGCCTGGCAAAAGAAGGTTGGAATACAGTCGGCCCTCTGTGGCAGTCTCGGGAGTCTGGTTCCTGAGCCAGCTGGGTCCGCAGTATTCTGGGGCACTACTGATGACAGCACAGCCAGCCTGGCTCATCGATAGGTCTTGGAAGGACAGACCAGTCACTGGGGGCAGGGAATTATCCCACTCAGTTCCTGTTAACTTTGCATGCCAAAGTGCTAACGGGTATGATGGTCCTACCTTGCCAAGTAGTGGGAAAGCTTGCCAGACAGCAATATCAATGATTTTAGCTGGTTAGACTCCAGTGATACCCCAACGCACACTCTGGGGTCCCTAAGCCATGGCTATTGCCAATCTGCACCTAATACTTTCCGGAATTAGGTAATCAGGATGCATCCCTTCAGGGAGAGAGTGCGCATTCCATTCCAACAATAATAATATATATAATAATAATAATCCTTGCATTTGATATAGCGCTTTTCACGTCAGGAGGACGTCCCAAAGCGCTTCACAGAACACACTGTAAAGTGAATTGACTGTATATTTGTGGGCGAACGCGGCAGCCAATTGCGCACAGCAATGTCCCACAAACAGTCGTAGATTGAAAATGACCAATTTAATTATTGTTTTTGGTTTTTTTGGAGGGATTATTATTAGGCTCTGTGTGGAGTAAGGAAACTTGCCCAAGGTTTCGCCCTGCCTGGAATTGAACTCAGGTCTCTCACTTGCAAAGCGAGTGCTCTAACCACTGAGCTACAGGACTCCACAATCCTGTATCTCTGGGATACAATCTATCTCTGAGATTTCCATGTGTAGGTGGGATGCATAGAATTCTTAGTTTGGTTTTGGTATTGATAAGCATGGTGATGAGTTTCTGCGTTCGTCAGACACCCGAATGACCTCCAAAAAATCCTCTATTTTAGCCCATTACTTTCTCTTCTCAGCTGCTAAAGCAAAAATTGTCGTGATCCCAACTCTGTTTGTTCCCACATTTGTTAGAATTTCAGCCACAAAGTGTACAGTCTCATCACTTTACTATATATCTTGTGAATCGCTTTGAGACGTGTGAATGACATGATGCTATATAAATGACAAGGTTTATTATAATTATTAGTTTTCCCAAGTTACATAGAAAAAGGATAATACTTAGATCTTACCCAGTGAATCTGTATCTGCTTCCATTTCTTTGTCAGTGGCGTGAATTTTAACCCCAGATTTTGGGATGAAGTCTGGAATGGACACATCTGAAAGTATCTTCTGAATTGAATTTCTGTCCGTGGAGCCCTGAATGGAATGAGTCGCTGCAAACAGGTTAGCCGCTGATACAATGTAGTTCATGTGCAGATCCTGGTCAATGCAAAAAAATAAAAACATTAGTAACACTGCCCAGAATGTAGCTCGATAGAAATGGTGTAGAAAATCCTTTAGAACAGTAGGATTGCAGAATAATTCCATTTTAACAGGGTTGATGGCACTTGCTGTGTGCCAACTTCCCTTGCTTAAAAAAAACAACCTCCAGGTCTGGAATGGCCTCGCCTGGCCTCATCCCTTGCCTTCTTCAATACCCATATCAAGACCCTCCTCTTTGACCGTGCTTTCGATCACCCTCTTTCCTCCCCCCTTCCTGATCCCAAATTGGGCCCGAAACACTGACTTTCCAGCACCTTGGGACATCCTCCCGACGTGAAAGGCGCTATACAGATGTAATTTTGTTGTTGTTGTTGTTAGGCTGCCGTCAATGTCACTTCCTGTGTGCTGCAGTTGTGCGTTAAGTGTCAAAAGTCCTGCTGTATCACCTTCTTTACAAAGTGATGTCAGCAGCGCTTCCTGCTCATATTACACATGCTCAGCAGCGACATGAGCAGCACTTCCTGTACAGGCAGTCACAGCGGTCACGATCTGTCGACCCGGAATTTGCTGGAAATTTTTTAGTGTCGGGGAAGTTGGCGAGTGTATGTCAAAATCCAACAGGTCCTCAGCGCATTCTAACATTGTATATATAAATGCAAAGTGTTGTTATTGTTGTTGTTGTATACAGACAGACTCATCCTTTCAATTACTGAATCGCTTCCAAAGTTTCATAGCAAATAACTATTTTAACATTTAATATATGTGCAAGGATTGGCTTGAATCTTCTATAATGTTGTGCTTGCCCACATCTGAGTGTTTCATGCGCAGCACGGATTCCTACAGGTTGTTCAATAATGAAAGAGAAAATAAGATTTATGAAAGGGAAGCAAATTAAATGAGAACAAAAGTGGGTGTTGGCACAGGAAAGCTTTTTTTAAACAAAGGGTGTAAATAAGCAGCATAACCAATAATAATAATTCTTGCATTTGATATAGCGCCTTATCACTTCATCTGGACGTCTCAAAGTGCTTCACAGCTTATACTGTAAAGTGAACAAACAGTCGTGGATTGAGTGACCAATTTATTATTATTTTTTTAAATAAATTATTATCCTCGGAAAAGCAATCCGCCTTATCGACTAACAACTGGGTTCCTACTTACTGCTAGGTTAACAGAGGCATGTGGAGTAAAGAAACTTGCTCAACGTTTCGCCCTGCCGGGAATCGAACCCAGGCCCTCTCGCTTGCAGGACGAGTACTCTAACCACTAAGCTACAGGACTAAGCTGAAAGGATTAAAGGATCAATTTGAAATTCAAACCAGGTTGTACATTAACACAGTCAGAGTATCATCTTGTGTCCATCCTTCATTAATGGTGCATTTTCAGAAATTGTGAAAGTAGTTCCCTCAGTATTATAATAATTCTTACATTTGGTTTAGCACTTTTCACTGCAGGAGGTCTCAAAATGCTTCACAGGATAAACTGAAAAGTGGGGTGCCTGTTTTTCTGTGGATGCTCACATTTTCACAGAATTGTGCTGATAAGGCTTTCCGAGTTGTAAATTAGTTGATAAGTGACATGCTTATCTGTTCATTTTACAAGGAAATGGCAGCAATCCAATTATAGTTAGGAGTTCAGCGAGTTTGTAGAGGATAACAGATCTCTCTCAGAATTCCAAGAAATCTATTGAAGTGTGTAGGTGACACCATTAGGAGGAGACAAAGAAATTACATTTATTCAGCCTGTTCCCCACTTTCTCCCTGAAGTTGCTCATCCAGGAACAGGGCAGTGAGTTTCTCTCGGTGTCTTGGCCAACAATCCCCCAGGTCAATTGATCAGTCACTTCCTGATTTTTGTGGGACATCGCTGTACATAAAATTGGCTACTGCATTCGCCTACAAATACAGTGACTGCACTTTACAGTAAATTTCTGTGAGAACATTTTGATGACAAGAACTACGATTACATTTGTAAAGCGCCTTTCACGTCGGGAGGTCGTCCCAAAGCGCTGGCCGGTCAGAGATTTAACGTGACGTGATAAGGCGCTATATCAAATGCAAGGATTATTATTATTAAGGAAAGGAAAGTGAATCAATGTTTCGGGTCCATAACCCTTTGACAGAACTGGGGTATGTTATGCAGTAAATCTTGCATTACTTTTTAATTTTTGTATTGAACAATTGTTTCCATCTGATAATGTTGTCCGGAGGGTGGGGGGGGATTCGGGCAGCACGTGGACATCTACAAACGGCACATTGCAGGTATTCTGCAAATGTAGTTTGCACCAAATACGCAATCACTACGCTTGACAACAATAATAATAATCCTTGCATTTGAAATAATGCCTTATCACGTCTTTGAGACATCTCAAAGCGCTTCACAGAATATCTCTAAAGTGATTTGACTGTGTATTTTGTGGGCAAAATACGGCAGCAATTTCACACAGCAGTGTCCCACAAATAGTCTTGGATTGAGGACCAAATCATTATTTTTTTTTGAAGGGATTATTACCCTGGAAAAGTGATCCGCCAATTGACTAACAACCGGGTTCCTGCTGACTGCTAGGTGAACAGAAACGTGTGGAGTAAGGAAATTTGGCTTAATGTTTTGCTCTCCCCGGGAATCAAAGCCAGGTCCTCTCGCTTGCGAGGTGAGGGCTCTAACCAATATGATACGGGGCTCCACAGTAAAATCCTGTGAAGTATTTTGAGACATCTCGACAAAGTAATGAGGCGACATATCAATTGCAAGGATTATGATTGCAAAGTGTATTTAGCTCTCCGAAATGCTAACTATATAAATACAAGCTTTGTTGTTGGTATGATTATATGGGGAGCACTTACAGGAAGATTGCAGTGAATTTCTCCTCAAACGGAAACAAGTGATGCAATTTACAAAGGTGAGGTCAACTTTCCCATAAATACACTTTTCCCAATAACTAAAACTGTCTATCAGATTTTGCAGACAATGCTTGACTAGGGTGGGACAACAGTTTAAACTGTTTGATCCAAAACAATTACTGACAATTAGCAATGAATGGCTGGAACCATCTCCAATGCAATCAATCATTCAAAGTTATATCTTCAGAGAACTGAAGATGAGAACTTCATACACATTGTTTATTCACAGCTTTTCTCCTCAGGGGTTTATGGAGCTTCTATCACGTGATCGGGCCACAACAACAATAAACTTACATTTGTGTAACGCCTTTCAAGCCAGGAGGATGTCTAAGGCTAGGCCACTCCTTACACGACATAGATGTCGGATGATTGTCTCAAAGCGCTTCACAAGATTAAGTGCAACGTAGTAGCTATGCATTTTGTAGGTGAATGTGGCAGTCAACTTGTGCGCTGAAATGTCCCACAAACAGCCGTGAAGTGAATGACTAATTTTATCTGGAAGATTATTGGCCAGGACATTGGGAGAAACTCCCATTTTTTTGTATCATGACATGGGATCTTTAACAATAACCCGAACAGGCAGACTGGGCCTTGGTTGAATATCTCACCCGAAGGATGGCAGCTCCAACAATGCACCTACTATTCAACATGGGGCTTCAACCTGCAACCTTCTGACTCAGAGGCAAGAGCACCACCAGCTACACCAGGCTGCCACTCTGTCAACACCAACAATTTACATTTATATAATGCCTTTCACATCAGGACGATATCGTAAAGCTCTTCACATAGCTAACTTGGAGTCCAAGCCGGGAGTGGGAGGGGGGTGGGTGGTAGGATGGTGACCGAAATGTGGTTGAAAGGATCGGACTTGATGGCTTATAAAATTAGGGAGGGAGGTGGAGGGACTCTGGGATGGAGTTCCTGAGAGCGGGTGCACATGGCTAAAAGCTCACCCCCTTGATGTTGGGGCAGATCAGATGGGGGATATGAAGTTAGTTGAGCTCAAGTTTATTTGCACTATTCCAGAGATTAATCTTTGACCATAAGTAGCTCTTACATTGACAAAGTAAGGTGGTCCCAGTTCTGAGGTGAAAAGCAACCAATCAAAGACACAACATTCCGTGTATCTGGCAGGTTAGGAACAGGAATAGGTGGAGGCCACTTGGCCCTTTGAGCCTGTTCCACCATTTTCCAAGATCCACAACTCAATTTCACCTCCCTGCCCTCTCTCCATAACCCTTGATGCCCCTATTAAAAAATGATCTATTTTGCCTTTTAAAGATTTTAATTGACTCTGCTGCCACTTCCTATGGGGGAGTGAATTTAACACTCCCATCACCTGCTGGGTTAAAAAAGTTTCCATATTTCACTTTTAAACGTTTAGCCTCAAGTTCAAGACTATGGCCTCTGGTCCTCAATTGTCTCACCAGTTGCTCAATATTCAGCCTGTCAAATCCCTTTATAATCCCTTTACACCTCGATCAGATCACCCCTCAAACTCCTGAACTCATCTACTTTTTTCATTCTTTCATCATAATTTAAGACCTTGACACAGGGAATCATTCTAGTAAATCGAGGCTGCACACTCTCTAAGGCTAATATATCCTTCCTAAGGTTTAGTGCCCAAAACTCCAAACTAGGTTGAACACAGTGCTGTTGGATCCCTGTGGACCAAGCAATATTCGCTATCTGGAAGGTAACAGATATTCTGCTCTCTATGATATCGCCCATAAATATACAAATATACAGTCATTTCACTTCACAGTCTATTCTGTGAAGTGCTTTGAGACGTCTAGAAGACGTGAAAAGCGCTATATCAAATGCAAGGATTATTAATATTATTATTATTCCACCGGCTCCACTGGCTCCCCATCTCCCAATGCAGAGAGTTCAAAATCCTCATCCTCGCCTTCAAAGCCCTCCACGGTCTTGCTCCTCCTTACATCTGTAACCCTTCTAACTCCATATCAACCTGTCCGTTCCCACCGCTTGGCCTGCTCCACTTCCCCCGCTATCGCCAGTAGCCTCTTTGCCGCCACCCTTTGGAACTCCATCCCACAGTCCGTTCGCATTGCCCTCTACTTTGCCTGCTTCAAG